CCATTCCCGTTATCCTCACTTTACGTCCCTAAAACAACATCTATCTCAAGGGACGTAATCTAGGATTTGTTGGAATAGTGTCTAAGGCTATAACTATATTCGGTGGTGCATGGTCCTTTTGGGTTGCCTTCACCATAGCAACTTGAAGGATGATTTGTTAAGAGAGAGTAAATATTATAAGGAATAATATTTAGCTATTTGATTAATATAAGTCATAAATTAATTGGTATTAATTTGGTGACTTAAAGAGATTAATTAAATAAGAGGGTATAAACTGTCAATTGTTTGATAGTTAGACTTTAGACTGTAAATCCATTAGGATGGACTTTGGACGGATACTAAGAGCTTTAGGATAGCTCAAAATCGTCCATAGGGATATCTATGGAATGGATTTGGATAGCCTTAAGAGAAGATTATCCAATTAGGGTTTAGGGTGAAACCCTTAAGGAGTCTGATAGTATAAATAGACCCTATGGATGTGGGAGTTCGACACACAACCTTAAGCAAGGATACTCTGGCCGAATTCATCCCCTCTCCTCTCTCCTAAATCATCTTGCTTGCTATTGGTGTTTGTAAGCCATTAGAGGAGTGACAATTGTGACTCTAGAAGCTCCAAGACAAACAAGATCAACAAGGGATTCAAAGGTATGATTCTAGATCTGTTTTAATATTGTTGTTTAACCTAATTAGCCATTAGAAGTATTGGATTCAAAAGCATGTTTATTAGAAAGCCTAGATCCAAGCAATAGGGTTTTGCATGCGCACATAGGAAAGTTCTTATGGCTAAAAACCCAACAGGATTTTCATCGGGACGGACATTACTGATAAGGGGTTTCCTCAACAATAGATATCCTAAGGCAACCATGAGGGGGATAGAGTACACCAGTGAACACATCGTTCACAACACCTACAGGTTATGAACCCGCTAACGTTCCACGAGACTGTCTAGAAGGAGTCTGTGGTCGTTATCCATACTACGCTGAATAACTAGGTCAACAACAACAACAACATCGAGGCCTCTCATCTGTTTATTACACACCAACTATCTACCCATGTTCTACCCAACATATTAGTAGATAAAAAAAATATTTTTATACATAGTTTAAAACCTGTATAGCATTTTCATTCAATACATATTTCACGTAACAGATGAGGCATACCTACATAACACGTATTTCATAGAAAACAAATCAGATCTATGTGATTAAAGAGAGTGAATATACATTCACGTACATAACAACAAAACTATACACATAACACGTATTTCGTATAAAATACTTCATAATTATGCGTTAGAAGAAAGTAACTACACACTCACACATATAAACAACAATAAACTTAATACACTCAAACCATACTTGTATTATTATCGTGTTTATGAAAGCTAGTATACACTCACTTGATCAGAAGATGATCGGACAACACTACGGCTTGTAGAAGTCGTAATTCTCAGCAGATCTGGAAGATCTCTACAAAAATCGAACTTCTCGCGGGCAGAGCTTAGGCTCGGAAACCGCACTTCTCGGGATCTTCGGGATCTCGGGACTTGCTTCGGGACTCGGGAATATTACCGGGGCTTCGGGGGTAAAAACGCAGAGTTTCGGCACAAAGAGGAGAAGAAATGAGCAAGAATACTCAGACCCCTCGCATCCTATTTATAGGAGGCTGATGCCTCAGAGTACGCGGGGCGTACGCATGTACGCGGGGCGTACAGGGCTCCGAAATACGTCACTGCATGCGTAATCCGAAGTGTCGACACTCTGGCTGTACGCGGGGCGTACTCCGGATGAGTCCGGTGACTCGTCTTCGGATAAGGCCGGTATTTAATAATTAAATTTAATTATTAATTATTTAATAAACTTCGAAAATTCATATCTCCTTCATACGAACTCCGTTTTCGACGTTCTTTATATCCACGCGAAGGTGAGACTACGCTCTACAACTTTCGTTTAGACTCCGTCGGCTAATTTTGACTTTATTTTTATTATTTATTTTTAATAGGTCGGGACAAAAAATTTCGTTATAAATTCATAACTTCTTCGTTTGACGTCCGTTCTCGCCTAACTTTTTATCGCTTGGATACTAACAACGAGATCTTCGATTCTCGTTTAGATCACTAAGGCTAAATATCGCTCTAACGTAAATTTCACTTTTTACGTTATTCAGCGTTGCCGGTTCTGTCGCGAAACTTCGACAGGTCATAACTTCCTCGTTATAACTCGGATTTCGGCATTGTTTATATCTTCAGAAACCTTTGTTTCAACTACTACAACATTATCTAAAGATATCGAGTTTATTTTACACTTCAATTTTGACGTTTGTTTTTATCCTTAATTAATCAAAACACATAATTAAGCAATTAAGCACAAAACACATAATACTCAAATAATACACTTCTATTATTTCAAAACGGGTTACAAAGGTTAACCTAGACTATCACATTGCTAAAAATGGCAAGCCCAGAAACACAGGCGTTACAGTATGGGATAATGTAGGAGAGCTAAGCAACATGCAATGTCTGTTGTTGAAGGTACCATAGTGGAAAATTATGCAAAATTATGGTCCTATGGTGAATAGATAAAAAGGTCTAATCCAGGGTCAACAGTCAAGTTGTCTGTGAACTCTATGCAAGATGGGAAAACTTACTTTAGCAATATATATATATATATATATATGTTTTCATGCACTAAAAGAGGGTTGGAGAAGTGGCTATAAAGGGATAATAAACTTCGATGGGTGTTTTCTAAAAGGAATGTGTATTGGTCAGTTATTATGTGCTGTTGGTAGGGATGGTAACAATCATATATACCCAATAGCTTGGGTTGTAGTTTGTGTTGAAAATAAAGACATTTGGAAATGGTTCTTAGAAAACTTGCAAGAAGATCTGCATCTTGAAGGTGGGTTTGGTAGGATATTGATGTCAGATCAACATAAGGTATGTTTCTACTTTATAATGTCATACCTAATTTCTTTCAAATGTGATATAATTTTGAATATTATGATGATATAATTGCAGGGGATAATTGAAGCCGTGAAAGATTTATTTCCAGAGATAGAACATAGGCAATGTGCCAGACATGTTCTTTCCAATTTCAAGAAGAAATTTCATGGGGCTTAATATGAGAAACTATTTTGGAAGGCTTGAAAGGCCTCAACTGAACCTCTTTTCAATTCTACAATGAAATAGATTCAAATGATTAGCCCTGTTGCTTATGTGCATCTGATGGGAAGGAATCCAAACTCATGGTCAAGAGCATTTTTTCAAATAGGAAGGCAGTGTGATGCAGTTGAGAATGGGTTGTCTGAAAGCTTTAACAATGTTATATTGGAGGCTAGGAAGAAGCCAATTATTACAATGTTGGAGGATATTAGACTATATGTGATGTAGAGGATGTTTAGTTTGAGGCAGAAAGGAAGTGGATGGGGACATTTTGATGTACGTCCAAACATAAGGCTTGCCCTAAATGAATTAAAGATCCAACAAATGTACTATATTATTCACCATAATTGAATTGAATATCTAGTCAAGGTACTTTAATTACCCTTGTTAACTTTGTTTATTTGTAGGTACTGGAAAGTGCTTCCTAGTGGCCTGAATACATTTGAAACAAGAAACTTAGGAGAGTCTTATGGAGTTGATCTGGAAAAGAAAACATGTATTTGTAGGATTTAGAAAATGAATGGGTATGGTTGTGCACACTCAGTGGCAGCCATTAGTTATGTAAATAGAGATGTAGACGCATTTGTTGATCCTTTATATCGTGCTTGCATATATATGAACACCTAAAAGTACACAATTGGAAGCATGAATGGGAGTGAAATGTGGCCCCCCAACAGAGTACATATCGCCTTTGTCACCATTGAAAAGGAAGATGCCAGAGAGACCTACTATTAAGAGAAAGAGGGACAGTATTGGGGTTACTGGATCACACAGATTATCAAAGACAAGCATAAAGATGTTCTGTGGTGTTTGTAAGAAATCAAGCCACAATAAGTCAACCTGTGATGCGGTGTCAAAGCCCCAAAAAAGTCAGGTGAAAAAGAGGAAGGCTGAAGGTGAAGGTGAATCTATTGCATTAAAGAAAAGGAAGGGTCAAGGGAAAATGGGAAGGGAAAGGGTGAAGGTGATACTGGAAGTGGATTTGGTTTCAAAATGGGAGAAGGTGAATGTGAGTCAACAAGTGGTGTGACTAAGAAGAATGGTAAAAAAGTAGATACATTGAAATTAAGAAAAAAGTCAGAGAGGATACTAAAGAAAAAGTTGGCAAAACAGGTTGCAGGCAAAAACGGTGAAGGTGATACATCAAGCAAACCAATGGACTTGGATTAAAGATGTTTTTGGAGTATGTTAGTTATGGTGCAAGGTCTTAAATTAAAAATATCTTGTTGTTATGGTCTTGTTTAGTATGTTAACGTGTCTTTAAAACACCAAGTTATGATATTAATGAATGTATGGATGTTTGTTTTCTGTTTGTAACATGAATGTTAGTTTCTTTAATTTAAAACATAACATGAATCTTTTTTTTTTTTTTAATAATTGTACTTCCAATGCAATTCCATATAACAGTGGATTTGAATTATAACAATGTACTTCCACATAAGGTTATAATAGGAACTTCACATTTGGTACATTTCATTATAACAATGTACTTCAAGCGGAAATTGAAGTCTTGCAACATACGACCTTTACATTTGGTACATTTCATTACAAACCATAACATCATATGCAAAGCAAAACAAAGGTTATAATAGGAAATACATTTCATTTCATTCATCCATTACAACTGAGGTTATTGTCTTAACAAAAACCCCCTAAAAATTTGGTTCTAAAGACCATTACATCCTCAATGGGCACCATTGTTCAAAACAACCAACAACACATAACCTAATACATACATATATATACTAGCAGATGACAAAATTAGACAAAAAGACACAACCTTCGACAACCCTGATAACCCAAAAGAGACCAATCGCTATCTTGCTAGCTACGAACTAAACTACACCCACCAAAATCCCCATCCACTGCATTCGACGCAAACACGAAACCCAATCAACGACATCACAGCAACTCCAGCAACACCCATCATGGTCACTTTCCTTTTCAAGTTACGTATCTTCTCCCTAAACTCGCTAAGCTGTTGTCGCATCTCATCTCGCATTTCCTTAATCTGCACTTAGGTTTCCATGGCATGAAGTTCGTAATCAGTTGGTAAGTCTAGTTTCGAAGCTCTAAAACCATCATAAGATAAGCTTTGTTCTGAGGCCATCTTCTTAATTTATAGGTGGGAAAAAAAACGAAGTCGATGATGTGAATGAATGTTACGGATTAGGGTAACAAAGTGGTGGGGAAGACGGATTTAGGGGTAGACGATTTTATAAGGGGACCATTAGCAATGACTTGGCAATTCTTGGGGACCAATATTTCAACAGTAATATTCCACGGTGGTGTCCATGTCACGAAAATAGGGGATAAACCTTTTACAATCGGTAAAGGGATGTAATTAAACAGTTAAATGAAAGTATATTTCTTTAATGTGCAAAAAAAAAGTTTGGGGACCTTTTAGAACAAACACGAAAAGTTTGATGGGCAAATATGAAATTTGCTCTAAATATTTAAATGAAAACCAAGTATTATTAATAGAAAATGTAGTGACGGTACATATATCTATAGTGACAATTGTTTCATTTATGTACACAAACATACACAAATCTGAAACGAAAATCTACACACTAAAAATCTCATTATTCCCTTTTATTTAAAAACAAAAAATAATTAATTTTTTTATTTAAAATATTTTATTATATAGATTTGAAATAAATAAATATATTTTTATTTTAATACTTTTTTTTTATTTATTTATAAAAATGATATATTTTTATTCTATAAACAAATCTTTATATTGAACCCTTTTATTATGTAATAATTAATTTTAGAGTAAATTACTGAAATAGTCCCTGTGGTTTGGTAAAAATTACATGTTTGGTCTCTAACTTTTTTTTTTGCACTCATATCGTCCCTATGGTTTGATTTTGTTGCGTTTTTCGTCCCTATGATTTGGTAAAAATTGCATGTTTGGTCCCTCACTTTATGTATGTAAGGGACGAAAAATGCAACAAAATCAAACCACATGAACGAAAAACCCAACAAAATCAAACCATAGGGACGATCCGAGTGCAAAAAAAAAGTTAGGGACCAAACGTGCAATTTTGACCAAACCACAGAGACGATTTCAGTAATTTACTCTTAATTTTATTTAAAGTAAAATATAAAATAATCATGAAGGATTTAATATTATGTAATGATAATTAATAAAAAAATAATTATTTTGTAATAATTAGTTTATTTTAACAAAAAAGTTAAAATAATTATTAAGGATCCTTTAAAAATATAAAATGGTCCAAATAGTGGACCATTATGCAACTCCAACAACTAAATAAATTATTCGGTAGACGCAATCATTGTGAAAAAGTTTATGTCGGCTTGAATAACATGCTATAATTACATGTTGTAAGTTTTCATGTTTTATATCTCGCGTAAATACTTTGTTATGCTTGATTAGTTTAGTTTAGGGTAAATTACATCAATCGTCCCTCGTGCATATGCCAAAAAGCGTGTTTAGTCCCTATTTTGAAAAATTAACTCGGACCGTCCCTGAGTTTGTTTTTTCTTGCACGCTTAGTCCCTGAAAAACAATTTTATTGTAAACTTAGTCCTTGCCAAAATTTAAATGACCATTATACCCTTGTGTTTTTTATTTTTCAATTAATTTATTATCTATATTATCATTTTCAATTAAAAAATAATAATAAATGCCCCTATCCCCTTCACTTTCCCCAACTCGTTTACATTTCACTGTTACCGATCGAAGAGAAACATACAAACACACACATATATACAGTCACCGACCACCCTCCGACGAACCTTCCCCACCATTTCACTACATTACTGTTCGAGAAAATAAAAACACAAAATACACAGACTCGATGAAAGGGAAAAAGGAGACCTACAACACGTTGATGATTTTGGGTGGGTGTCGAAGTGTATACCGTTGGTGAGTTAACGATGATCGGAAAAGAGTGAGTAGGAGAAGGAAGAAGGATTGGTTTGTTTGCCAGAGAAGGAAGAATGAGGAGGAGCGCCAATGAGGAATTGAAGAAGAAAGCCTACGACGACTAGGGTTTTGGGTGGTTGTTGGAGTGTAGATCCGTCTCCGACCTCCTTCACCTCCAAGAACATAAGGTTTGACGAACACGATCATCGCTATCGATTAGGGTTTCAAACCGATTGAGGTTGTCAATCTCCTTCATTTGTACGCTGCCATCGATTTCCATCAGATAGGGTATTGAGATCGATGATTTCTAACATATGTTTTGATCGATTTTCAACAGAAGTTTAGATCGATCCGGGCCTCCATCGTCACCCAGACGATGTCATCCGAGATGGAGAGGGTAATAGAAGGTGGTAGCAGGTGGTGATTGTAATTTGATTCGATGTAGGTTTACAAAGGAGGTGAGAACGGGGGAGAAGGGAAAGGGTGTACTATGATTTAAGGGTGATAGAAAGTGGGTGTTGGCGATTTCCTGCGATGCTTATGGGGATATTTGTTTTATGTATTTTTTATAATTTAAATTGATAAAGAAATGAAAGAAAATGAAAAAAGAAATTAATAAGGGTAAAATAGTCATTTCATGTCCATAGGGACTAAGCGTGCAAAAAAAAACAAACTCAGGGACGGTCCGAGTTAATTTTTCAAAATAGGGACTAAACACGCTTTTTGGCATATGCACGAGGGACGATTGGTGTAATTTACCCGTTTAGTTTATTTTAGAAGTAGTTTAATAAAATTTATAAACAGTTTAGTTTATTTATGATTCATTTAGTTTACTTATAATTAGTTATTTGCATTACGTTTTTCAATTATTAGTTTCCATTGTAATACTAGCAGATATAATAAGGAGATTACGTTGTTCAATTATTAGTTTCAATTGCAATACTAGTTGATATAATAAGGAGATTATGTTAATTATTAGTTTCAATTACAATACTAGTTGATATAATAAGGAGATTATGTTAATTATTAATAAAAAATTAATGAATACTCTAGTATAAAAATGTCAATCTTTTTTAGTAGACATACAAACACAACATATACAAAATTCACAAAGAGAACAAGTTTAAAGTTTTTTGTGTTGTTTTGAGGGCTTTGAACAATTTTCCGTGCCATGTTATGATATTGAAGTTTTTAATTTGTAAGTTTGTTATATACTAATTCTTTTTGTATTTTCTTTATTTAAGTATTTTTTTAAAAATATCATTGTATGTTGTGGTTGAAATTTTAATGTAAATTAAATTAGATTCATGTTATCGATCATATGTTATGGAAGGTGATATATATATATATATATATATATATATATATATATATATATATATATATATATATATATATATATAATATTTAATTAACTATTGTATACATATTTGTATGCTCATGTTTCTTCAAAATAATAATTAATTAAAAATCATGGATATGTCATATTATCCATGTAAGCCTTTTTTAAAATGCAAATTCTTTATCATATCACTTTAATTTTAGTATATGTTTAACATTTTAATTATAATAATAAGTGTTTTTTAAAATTTTCTTTCACTTATTAATAATAAAAAGTGGTTTTAAAATTAATAAGCAATAATTATAAATAATAAAATCAAATTACATGGATATGTCATATTATTCATCAAAGTCTCTTTTGAAATGCAAATTGTCTATCTTATCACTTTATTATTTAGTGTATGTTTCACATTTTAATAATAATATAAAATGTTTCTTAAAAATCTTATTTAACTTATTATTAATAATAAGTGGTTTAAGTTTAATGAATAACAATTTTAAATGATAATAACATCAAATTATAAATTACATTTAGTTATAAATAAATTGTATTTTAAATGAACATCATTATTGAAATAAGAAAATGATCGCATAAATAAAAATATAATTAATCAATAATAATAATTGTTAAAAATAATACTAAATAGATAATTATATTTAATTCTATTAATGAGGAATGTGGGTTGGTGTCAATAAATATTATTATTCAAAATAATTGAAATTATATATATATATATATATATATATATATATATATATATATATATATATATATATATATAAATTAGTGTAAAAATATTATCTCAAAGTTAATGTAAATAACATAACCATTTTAAATATATATTTTTCAATATTTTAACAATATATTTTTAATCTTCGTTGTACAACGTGCGAAAATTCGTTTAGTTATAAAATAAAAAAAAGATTTTTTAACATGTGTCTAAGGCACGTATAAAAAACATTAATTATCACAAATATTATTATAATTAAATATAAAATACATTAATTATAAAGATTATCACCATAATTAAATATGAGATACATTAATAATTTCCATAATAAATACATTTTATACTTATTAATGATATTATTTTTATTTTTCGTAATTAATAATGTGAGGTAAATTCTAGTTTCTAATGGAATATATGTATTTACTTCGGCCCTTGGAATTCTTAGGCCATAACTTGTTAAACTTAAGAAGTTGTGTAAGCCCAAATTCTTATTGAATAGAAATTTATTTATAAATAAATTAATTTGTTGGTCCATAACTTAAAAAAATTTAAGTTTGATGCATAAAAAAATAAAACGCATATATTGGAATATTAATTTACTTCGAAAAAAGAATGCATATATATATATATATATATATATATATATATATATATATATATATATATATATATATATATATATATATATATATATATATATATATATATATATGGTTAGGTTCATGTGAGACGATCTAATTTTGTGAGACCGTAAGATGCATTTTTTAATTTTTTAATTTTTTTTACCTAATTCAAGTTTCGAAAATAATATTTAAAAAAAGAATTTTTTGATTTTTCCATTTATTTTGCATTTTAAAATTATTTTTAGAATATGTACCGTGTAATATTCTATTTAGAATATTTCACGTATTTTTCGAAATATATATATATATATATATATATATATATATATATATATATATATATATATATATATTAGTTAATTCAAGTTCCGAAATTAATATTTAAAAAAAGAATTTTTAGATTTTTCTATTTATTTTGCATTTTAAAATTATTTTTTAGAGTATGTCAGTGTAATATTTTATTTAGAATATTTCACGTATTTAAAAAAAAAAACGGGATTTTTTATTTTTTATTTTTTTTAGTTAATTCAAATTCCAGAAATAATATTTAAAAAAAGAATTTTTGGATTTTTCCATTTATTTTGCATTTTAAAATTATTTTTAGATTTGGTCTCACGGTCTCACAAAAAATTAGAATTATCTCAAATGAACCTGAACATATATATATATATATATATCTATATATATATATATATATATATATATATATATATATATATATATATATATATATATAGAGAGAGAGAGAGAGAGAGAGAGAGAGAGAGACAAAGGATCAAATGAGAACACCTAAAAAGTTGAGAACGCGAGAACACTTCTGAACCAATCATATTATAAGGGTATATTAGTAATTGTTTATTTATTGTAAATAAAATCAAATTAAATTCAAATCTTAATTTCCTAAAATTTAGTGATAATGATTATCTACCTAAAATAAAATATGAACCGATAATTTTATTTCTTTTATTAATGGATATTAAAAATAATTTATATTATTTTTTTTGTTAAATAAAAAATCCTTTTTTTTTCTAATTTATTATTCATCAAAATAATTTCAATCATATATGAATAAAACATTTGTAATTATAAAAATATATGTTTGTAATCCTAAATGATAAATCATAATTTAGAGATAACATTTATAAATGAATAAAAATAAATTACTAATCATACATGAATGTGCTAAAAAATAAAAAAAAATGAACACATTAGAAATTATATTCATAAAATAAAATTTTCAAAGATTGAGTTTATACATTTATATATTTATATTCATAAAAGAATATCCCAAGACTAGTTTGATACATTTATACATAATTATATTCAACAATGATTAAACCACTTCAAATGAATTTTTTTTTTTGCAAAATTCATCCTTATATTAGCTATTTTCTTGAATTGGTCACAACCCCTTCCTTCTCTTTGAATCAAATCGCTCACGAGCTTGTGTAACGAGTAGGAGCAGGCAGAATCTAAAGAATTCTAGCATTCCTTTTTCTTTGATTAATATCTACAAACATAACAATAACATGTAAAGACAATAAAATACCAACAAAATATTAAAATGAATGATTAGTAGAAAAACATATGTTGTTATAATCATAAATGATTATGATGAGGGCATGATTATGTTTTTGCATCTCTTTTAAATAGTAAGCTTGTAAACCATACGTAGTACAAGTCCCGTATGAATATGATTTGTATAAATTGTGATAAGTAAATGAATTTTAGGGTTCAAATGTTGGGATTTCAGATTCAGGGTCATGTGTGAGCTGGTAAACCAAACATGATAATATACTCCGATAAGGATCATTCCGTCTTTTCTCTTTTAGATAAGATAGACACCTTTCTACCTCCGACTTCACCTCTACATACAACTCATGTGCCTTGTCCCTATTCCTTAGCTCCTGCTGTCTCCCTGCAAACCAATGACCATTTGGAAAAAAATGTAAGTAATTTCCTTATAAACATAACATAACATCACATCACATACCATGTGTTTCAATTGGGTTTCCAAAAAGATAATAAAATCTCCCAGGTAGTTTGGGACGCATCACTGGAAAGTGTACATCTTGGTTTGCTACTTCACTTTCAACCTTACTCCTGTAGTAGTAGCATCACTCATCAGTCATCACATTAAAGAATATATAGAATCATTTCAAAAAACTAACAAATAAAAAGTATGATAGATATTTATGTATAGTTAGATAGCTAAGCTGCACGACCTCATCAATTAATTCCTGTATAAATTGTCTGAGATATGGAATCTTCATTTGGTCCTCATAGTAAAAAATCAACTGAACAAACCAAATTCCCGTAAGTTGTGTTAAACAATAGAATATGTGAGGTGAGCAAATTTACAAAAAAAAAGTCCACGTACCTCACCAATATCATCTTCTCCAACAACACCAAAAGGTATGATTTTGGCTCCAAACATAGCAGCCATCCTCACAAACTCAAACTGGTCTGGCCAGAAAAACATATGTTGTTATAATCATAAATGATTATTATCAGCGTCTTTTAATCATCTGTACAACCATTTTTATAATCAAAGTGATTATAGCGAACACAACTGACTATGTTGATTGAATTTATTCACTACTGTTATGAAGGATATCCGATCTAGAATTTGACCTACAAACACAATAGAAGGAAGAATCAAAACTTACCAATTGTTGATTTATAACTTCAATTACATAGGAAATCCTGTCAAATTTCGCTCCTCTTCCCATCACTCCCTTTCTCTCGCTCGTCTCTATTCCCTTCCTCCTAATGCTCGACACAAAGCACATAATCCCAAAATACGATTCATATGGATCGACTCTTAATCGGACTTGATGGGCATGGGAAGAAAATTCATGAACCCAGCCTCGTGAGACCCGATCGACGCATTCATGGGCTGCCCGAGTGCCAATCTGGAAACAATATCTCGTTCGAAAGAGAAAGGATATCCGATTGCGATCTGAACCACATAAACACCTCCCTCTCGGTTTCCATGAATCGGGTTGTAGGAGACTGATTGGAGATCGAGTTGCAGGAGGCCATTTGTAAATCTACTTTAGGTACGATTAGGGCTATGAAAATCAAAGATGCAGATGATGGATATGAGACGGTAAGATGATGAAGGTGTTGCTTGTTTGTTGTATGAAATTAGGTCAATGAAATAGAGAGGCAGAGAGTAATTATAGGAGTTTACAAAATTAGGGTAATGTTTATTTACCTTAATACCCTTTATAATTTTCTTTAATTTGAAATTTAATTTTTAAATGTATTAATAATTAGAAAAATAACAATTAATTATAGCCACACATCTTAAAAATTAAATGGTCCAGATTTGTTCTCGCGTTCTCAACCTTTTAGGTGTTTTCATTTGATCCTACTCCTATATATATATATATATATATATATATATATATATATATATATATATATATATATATATATATATATATATATATATATGTTTCTCTTGATATTTTAGATTTTAAATAGATGGAAAAAAGTTAGTTTATTAATGAGAATATTCCATATATATTTTTATTAAACATCAGTTGAACCTAATTTCTAAAAATTATATTTTTCTTTCTTATATTTTCAAAATATCAAATTTACCCAAATCATTTTTATTAACATTTGTTGATATTCTACACTTATTTTAAACCCTTATTTTTTAATCAATCGATTATTATATCCTTTTATATATTTAAGTTAAAATATTGTCTATACTCTCTATAACTTTTTAAAATATCATATTTACCCAAAAAGTATGTTAAATGTAATCAACTTTTCTGAAAATATGGCTGCTATCATCCTAATTCTTTTAGCCGGATAAGTTGACGACTCAATGTGTCATTGTTAAAGTCTCCATATCCGAAGCTCACTATCCGAGATTACTAATGCATTATATACTTGTATATTATACAAAACACTTGTACATCTTCACAAACTAGAAGATCCAATCTTGTTAGAGTGATAATATTAATGTTTTTAATCAAAATTGATGATGATGAAAATCATATATATTTAAAAGATTTAGTAAGATCGGAGAAAAAGTGTGTGCAGAAATCAAAGTAGATTTTAGAATAATTTGTCTGGGCTTTAATGTTGTCAACATTTTAAAGCCAAACTAATTGAAGAAATTTAAAAAAATGGTCGAACTCTTAAACATTAGTTCTTTCTGTTTAACTCAATTTACAATTTTTTATCCAAAAGAATCACATTTGTGTGGTAGCCTAACAAAAGTGGATATGCAATCTCACAAATAATAGAAGTAGTAACTATTAAGCATAAACTTTATCAAGGGAAAGACTTTTAATAATGTTGGGAAAATTAGGGTTTGCGGTGGAGATCTGGATACCAGCTTGGATCGTGATATCACTTTCCGAACTGATATTTCTACCCTATGCCTGGGTTACAAGAAATTCAGCCTAGGATAATCCAAACGGACACCTACGTTTCTAGGCACAGAAAACGTAAGCTATTATGCTAAAAGGTTCTATGAATGTGTGATGAAAAACGAGAGCTAAAAAACATCCGTCTTCTGGAAAGGAAGAGTTGTTTATATACTAAACACGATTCGGGTTTCATTAGGGTTGGGCCGTCATTACTTGCTTAGGAAGCAAGTAATATTAATCCGGATTAGGGTTACAAAAAACGAACGAGTTTCGTTAGTTTTACCATAATCACCCTCAAGAAATTTAATTTTACATTAAGCGGGACCCCAGCCAGGGGCTCTGCCCCTTGGACCCCGCTAGGGGCACTACCCCTAGACCCCGCCAAAGGGGCGCTGCCCCTTTGGAAACCCCGGACCCGGGGGCGCTGCCCCAGACCTCCGACTAGTCGTCGAACCGGCTTCTGACTCAATCTTATACATGCGTGCACTCCGCACAAACCCGTACATGTATTAGAGTACAAATCATGAAACCCCTTAGCTCACATGTTAGTTCCAGTTACTTAAAATGACATGGTAACACTAAAATCACCAACAAATAACACGAAGTTTAATATCATCACCAAAAATAACAACTAAGTCTTGTTATTTTCCAAATGTTTCTGAAAATCTCCCATCATTCTCTAATTATCATATCCTTTTATACCAAAAATTCCATTGTATTTTAACTCCCTAGAATATATTTTATAGAATATGATTATCACTAGGGAAAAATAGATAAGTTGTCCAGAATTCAACAACCCGAACATAATAGGAACACCATTATGAAGGCAATAGCAAAATTCTCCAACTTTTAGCATCCCACCTTTTTCCGAATGCAACATATCTAGGGATGATAAATGAAGGATATAAATGGATTATCACCGATAAGACCATGAACTTTCTGAATTTAATGGATGATGAAGTCCTTGAGTCCATGCAAGGGGCAACAGGTTTTAAATGATATAATCCATATTTATACATCTGTTATTAAGAATGGGAAACTTTCTTTACAAGTCCTGGAAATAATAAATGTCATAGATAAATGAGAAAAGAGGATTGCTTAAAACCAAAACCAAGGGATAATAATAGCTATGATAGTATGATGCAATCAACTATTCATGTAAAATAAACCCATTGGAAGTGATGCACAACTCATCTACAATATTAAGATCATAATTCATCAAAAGTGCACACATAAATTCATTGCATTCACATACTAAAACTGATCAAAAGCTCATACAGTGATACATAAAAAGCCCAAAAATATGAGATGTTAACATGAGAATTATTTGCTTATAGACGATTGCAAGAACAAAGACGACAAGCCAGAATTCCAGGTCTCTTTTTTTAGAAGATAGAGGCAATATGGTCCATTTAGTTTTCATTTCGATTTTAATGAGTTTAAAATATAAAAAATAATTATTAAATATATTTTTTTGGATAAATTTGATATTTTGAAAACTTAAAAACAGTAAATATGATATTTAAAAATTAGGTTGGACAAATATGATATTTGACATTTAACAAAACATTTATCAAAATTTTCCTAGCAATAATGGTTAGTAACTTGTAAGGGTATCCAATCTTTTATAATAATGCATATTTAGTCACTAAACTTTTTTAACATGATTTGCTACTAAATTTATTCTATTTGTTCAGAAATACCGGCAAAACCACTATACCCAGTCATATTCGTATATTTTGAACAATTTGAACTAGTTGAATAGTAGGCATACAAAAAAAAATGAGTGACTAAATATGTACAAACGTAATAGTTGATTACTTTTTGAAGTCATTATCTGTTATTTTAGAAAACCGATTACTTCCCATTGAGTGGATTGATCAACTTATGTAAAAATTTTTAATAAATAAATTTATAGTTAAATAGTGTATTAGATTTGATTATATAAACTATAATTTAAATTAATAATATATGTATAGAATCAATATAATTTTGAAAGCTGTAAGCATTTGAATACATTTTAAACCATTTTCTAGCCATTTAACCTATTTAATTCATTAAGTATATTCCTCTTTTTACTAATTGTTTATATATTTTATTCATAAGATGGATATTTAATAAATTACAAAACAAATTAATCCCCTATACTAATATAAGCAAACCCAAAGTTGTTGATGTCGTTAACAAAACAGTACTTAATTATTCAACAATGGTTGGTAGATTATTGGTGCACGTTAACCGATTAATAATAAAAGATATATATATATATATATATATATATATATATATATATATATATATATATATATATATATATATATATATATATATATATATATATATATATATATATATATATATATATATATATATGCAATCTGTGAGATCAGATATCATACCTCATCCACACAAAAGGTATCACGTCCCAAATTCAGTAGCTAAATGACTATCTCCTTCCAAATGCTACGCTTGTAATTTCTTTCAACACTTTATCTGAATTATCTGATTACTATTTTCTCAACAAACAATGGAAGCCTTCATGAAAGAGATCCAACATCTTAAAATCCAACTAGAAGATATAAAGTCAGCCACAAACATCTTTGATAACAACAAAATCATCGGAAGAGGTGGATTTGGGAAGGTGTACAAAGGAGTAGTCTCTCATTTTAAGGGGCAAAGCATGGTTACTTTTAAGCGTCTAGATAGTAGCTATGGGTAAGGATATCCTGAGTTCTTGAAAGAAATTCTAATACTTTCCCGTTGCACACATGAAAATCTCATCTCACTCGTGGGATTTTGCAATGAAGATGATGAAAAGATCATTGTGTATGAGTACGCATCTCATGGAAGCCTCGATCATCATTTAAGTAACACTGATCTCACATGGAGGCAACGTCTCAAGATATGCATTGCAGCCGCAAAGGGGTTGTGCTACCTTCATGATCCCAATGGAACAGAACAAAGAGTTATACACTGTGATATTAAAAGTTCCAACATTCTACTTGATGAGAATTGGAATGCTAAAGTTTCTGACATGGGACTATCAAAAATAGGACCCGCTAATCAGTCGCACAGTTTTCTTCCTACCAATGTTGTGGGTACCTTTGGGTATATAGATCCGTTGTATATAGAGACATACTCCCTCACCAAAGAGTCGGATGTATACTCTTTTGGTTTGGTCTTATTTGAAGTATTGTGTGGGAGACTATGCATTGAACATAAAAATGGTCATTTTCATAGTTTAGTGCCAATGTGGAAAAAAATATATGAAGAGATGAAATTAGATGAGATTATCTTTGAAGAGGTGAAACAACATATGGATCCGAGGTCATTGAAAACATTTTCAGATGATTATCAGTGTTTGCGTATCTCTCGTGAAGAAAGACCAAAGATGTCTCGTGTTGTTGAAAAACTTGAAATAGCACTTGAGTTTCAAGAGATTTCTGAAGAGGTGGAGCTACCAATTGACTATGAAGAGATGAGTAAGGCTGCAGTTCCTCCTCTGGTCTACAGATCCAAAGAAGAACTAATGATGCTTCTCTACAAAGGTATCATGGTTAACGAGGGCAAAACGGTAATTACATATATCTATAATTATAGAATATCGCTTTAGATTTAATTTATTTATATTATAAATGGTAATTGTGATTATGAAAAGTTAATCTAAGCAGATGATTATAAGTTTATAACCAAATAATTGCAAAGTATACTTGCAATGTAGATCTATTTAATAAGTAATAAAACTCATGTTCGAGATTTCACTTTACCTTAAAATGCTAACACAATATACGCAATATAACTTGAAAACTGAGAAAAACTTGGCGCTACAAATCTCTACTCTTATAAATATTGTACTTGTATACTAAGTTGAGTTTTTTAGTGGTCAGTGGTTTTCATTAAATAAGAATGGAGAACATTATGAAACGATATCCGCAGCAGAATGTTTAATTCCTTTGTACTGTATACCTTGACAGAAAAATACTTTTCCGCCAAAGAAATCAAGGTTACTTATATCCTCGTTGATGTTTCTAGGTTGTTTAGACTATTTCATGAATATATAATAATGTATTCTTTGATGTTTTTTGATACAGATTTATAGTGAACAACAATATACCATTATGTTGGAAATTCAAAACACATGTGAGAACACAGTTTTTGTCACCACATATCATGTACACAATTCATCTTGTGTTCAATTTGGAGTACATAAGTAGCGATTATTTAGGCCTTGGTTACATATTGGCTGGGGAGACAAAATCTTCGACTTCATACTTTGCAGATAAGAGAGAAGATGGATTGTTGATGGCTGAATTGTATCACTTTACTAGCGATAAGAGAAATGTTGATCTTGAAATTACATTTGAATGCCAAAATCCATTGGCAGTAGAAGGAATCGAGTTTCAGCCCAAGGAGAGAGTAAGACGAAAAATGCCAGTTTATTGATTTGGATAATTATGTTTATGTTTTTAGTGCTTTAAACATTCTTAGAAAATAAATTTCAAAGAACGAGAATATTAGTCCTTTTAACTTTAATCGTTGAAAGTTTAATATGTTAGTTTCATAGGTGGAAAAGCATGAAGTGTTAGAGGATGAGGAGGTGGATTTGCAAACCATATCACATTCAGAAACATATTGGGAACAAAAATTGCCAAATGATTGGGAAGAGATGATCAAGTGGTCAAAAGATAGTCTGTAATGGACAACAAAGAAGGAACTCTATTCTATTCTTCGTAAAGGATTCCTAATCAATAATGGGGAAGAGGTATATTTGATTTAAATGATTTGTTCTTATCAGTTTTGAGACATTCTTAATCATTTAATTCTCATATGTACCATGTTGTGAAGCCTATGAACATCATTTCAAAGGAAAAATCTCTAGAATTCTAGAACAGTTACTTACACATTTATTGATTTACAGTGGTTCTCTCTTGCAAAATATGGGAAGAAATGTCATATGCTATCAGCAAGAATAATGGCTTTGCGAAAATCAGAATGGAAATGGTGTTCTTTACCTGAATCAAGGTTCTTTCTTTATCTCTTGTTAACAAGGGTATCATTGGGTTTCCCTATTTTATGAAAATTTCTATTAAAGGCAACAATTTATTTTTGCAGATTTGAAGAAGTTGCTTTTGATCCTCATGGCAGCTTTTGGATAAAATGTAGCTCTAATATCCTTTCGCCTGAAACAACATATGCAAGTTACCTTGTCTACAAATTACAAGAAAACTATTCTGGATTTGAGTCACCTTTAAAAGTGATTGATGGTGTGAAAGTGAGTGATGGTGTTTTCTTTCAACCTTTTGAAAGACAAAGTCATAGTGAGGAGGATCTATCATGGTATATCTATTTACATAGTCCTCAAACCCTAATTATTAGATGAAAGGTTTATAAAGATAACCATGACCTTGTGAATAGACCCAAGAAGAAACAGATTCCACAACAAAGGAATGATGGTTGGATGGAAGTAAACGTATGGGAATTTCAAACTGGTACTACAACCGAAAGTATATCCAAGAATCTTAGATTAATGATCATTTCTGATGCTACTAGGTCACTTAAAGGGCTTATTGTGCAAGGCATTGAGTTTAGACCTATATAGATTCACTTTATGTAGTGATCTGAGACGTCTCCATGATTTATTCTTTTATCATTATTTCAATTTATGAGTTATCTCTTATTTTTATTATTTAAGATTAGTATTTCCTTATTAGTTAATTTTTTTTATGTTTTTAATTTTGGTAAGTAGGGTTTTGTCACAACAATATAAGTATGACCTTAGGGTCCTAGATGATTGTTAGATAATGGATTGATACATTCTCAAAAGACAATTACATAAAAATGTGTAGAGAATACTTAAAGCATAATGACTAAACCCTAAAGGGCTTGGTCCTAAACCCTAATCACTAACACCTCCCGTAGTTTGATCGGGTGGAGACAATTAAACCAAAAAAATAAACAAAAGAAAAAAACATAAAAACAAGATGAAGATAGTATTATTGGCGGTGGTAGAGCTCTAACAATGGTGGGTAACATCGACTGCTCATCAGAAAAGAAGAGTAAAGAAGCGGCAACGATAGGTGATTTCGTTGTAGAAAAAGAGAAGACTGGCGGCAACAACAATGATCATGCAACTAGCGGCAGAGGAGTCTAGAGAAAGGCAACAAGAAAGAAAGAGGGCTCGAGCTGCGGCGGACGGAGCCAAGTCTTGCGAGATCAACAACTGCAATGTTGATAGAGAAAGAAACGAATACATCAGAGGTTGTCCAGTGGATAAGGTGTCATTGGCGGGAGGCAACAGTAACATTAGGAGGGGATGAATCGGAAAAGGGATCTGAAGAAGTGGCCAACCGAGGAGAAGGCAGAAGGATCAGAGGCCGGGTCATCTGAGGATGAGGTAGAAGTAGACGAGGCAGTGGAAGAAACCGATGAAAGAGCTCTAGTTTGGTGCCGGTGGCTGTTTTATTATTTAGGGGTAACAGCCAAAAACAATGATTTTTTTTCTCATTTTTAAATAAGAAATACAGTCATTATATTTTTCCGAAACCAATTACATAATAACAATGTTAATTCATAAGAGTAATAATATCAATAATTGCAGAAAATGATGAGGAGAGAATGTTGTGCCATCACGACGGGCCCTTCCCCTTAGAACCGGAAGTACCTGAAAACATAAATACAATCTGTAAGCAAAAGCTTAGTGAGTTTCCCCAAAAAACCACATACCAATCATTAATAAGATAGTGCTATGGGCCAAATCATAGTCTTACAAGCAGTTTCCTGCCAAGGGAAAAATCCCGGTCTTACAGACAGTTGCCAGGGCCAGATCCCGGTCTTTCATACAATTGCAAGTGGCCAGATCCTAGTCTTTCATATAGTTGCTAGGGGTCAAATCCTAGTCTTTCATACAATTGCCAGGGGGTAAATCATGGTCTTTCATACACATATATCAAATATAGCTAACAACCTATATCACAAATAATGGCCTGACCTTGGTGCCTTCGACCTGTTGATATATTGAGAAAACTCACCTCACACGCAGACATAAAGCTGAACTAACAGGCTGCTCACCTTTGCAATTAATAACCACTAAAACTCAGACTACCTTTCAAAATACCAAAAATACCCCTAGGTCAAACCCTCGAAAAAACTAGGTCAAAGTCAACCGAGTCAATCGGGTTGACTAAGTCAGTACGTGGGGTGTGCTCCTCGTGTATGTGGGGCGTACCTTGCAATTGACTGAAGGACGTGTTGGATTAGTGTCTAAGTCCATAACTATTTTGGTATGTACTTGACCCGATGGTGCATGGTCCTTTTGGGTTGCATTCACCAAAGCAACTTGATAGGATGAATTATGGAGAGAAAGGATTAAATATGATTTATTAATATATTATGAGAATAATATATTAAAGGAGAAATCATATTGTTTAATTAATATTAGTCAAGAATTAATAAGAATTAAGTTTGTGGCTAAAAGAGATTAATTAAACTTAAGGGATTGGAATTATAATTATGAGATAATTACAATTGGGCTATGGATTACCTTATATTATAATAAGGTTGGACGAATTCTATGCGAAGACCCATTAGAAATCGTCCAAGGCTTATTAAGGAAGTGTCCATGGGTTGCTTAGGGCTTAAGCATCCAAATTAGGGTTTCCTAGTTTAAAACCCTAATAGCCTACATGCATATATAGTACCCTTAAGCCTCAAAAACAGGGTGAACTAATTGGTTAGGGTTTCCACATGTTTTGGGCAGCCTCCTTTTCTTCTCCTCTTCATCCTTTTGCTCTTGGTGTTTGTGAACCATTAGAGGAGTGACATTTGTGACTCTATAGCTTTCTAAAGTCATTACAAAGAGGAATTGTGATTGTTATTGCTACATAACAATCAAGGTATGATCTAAACCTTAATTCATATGCTATATTGATTATCATATACTAGATCTAGGGTTTATAGTCTTGGATAAATTGCATGTACAATAGAGAAACCTAGATCCAAGCATTAGGGTTTGTATGAGCACATAGGATGTTCTTATGGCCAAAACCCATCAGTGGTATCATAGCCTAGATTGGTTATTGTATTGATGCCTTGTATGTTTGTTCAAGTTGCAAAATCGAATTCTGGCCTTCTGTTCGAATTGACTCGGCGAGTCACTACTTGGACTCGACGAGTTTGTCCTACTCGGCGAGTTCCAATGTGTGACTCGGCAGGTCGGAGCATCAGATAGAGGAAATATCAGGATTTCTTGCTGTTTTGTTGAAGGATTAATACCAAAAACATATTTTTATGATAAAATCTGATTTTTATTATATTTGGGTGATTATCCTTCATAAAACATAAGATAATTTCAAATATTTTGAATAATACTTTCCTTATATGATAAATATGGATTATTTAATTTATTTGGTAATTATCTTATGAGATTAGGTCAAATATAGATAATGATGAAATTAATTGTTTAATTTATATTATTTGTTATTTGATCCTTGTGTTATGAAAAAGTTTCAATTATGCCATGTAAGTTTTATAGTTTAAATTAGAACTTAAAAGTTTTGGTTTTGAAATTTAAATAGTTAAAACGTTAATGTTTTGAAATGTTTCAAAACTTGCCCTCAAGTTTTGGAATTTAAAAGTTGATTAAAAGTTTAATTTAGAAATGTAAAATTCTAAAACCCTAGTATTGTTTTGAAAAGTTCAAATCACACCCTTATGGTTTTATTAATTAATTAAGGTGTATAATTAAAGGAGATTTAATAAATCCATATAGTTTTGGTTTACAATTTTAATTGAATTAAAAGTATAATTGTTAAATTTGACCACATAGTATTTTAAAAGTGTAAAATACACCCTATACTATATATATAATTAAAAGTCTAACATCAATATATATATATATATATATATATATATATATATATTATATATATATATATATATATATATGAGTA